ATCTAAGTGATCGAATTGGAGAATGATGTCTGAATCAAAGTTGTAGTCAGATGAGTTAGCTTTCCAACGCATTTTGAATCGCCTCAATCGGATATCGGAATACAAAGTTATGATAACAACACTGAAAGAAAGTGCAACTGTCTGTTTAAAACAAGAAATTCCGTTACATAATCCGTTAAAACAACAAATTCCGTTAATTTTTCTGTTAAACCAACAAATTCCGTTAAATAGGCACTTTTTATATATAGAAAGAAAACGGCATAACAAATATCATGCTAGGTTTTCAATTGCACCTTTTTGATGATTTCTATATCAACTTTTTATGGTCCAATTAGTATCATACAATTGGATAGAGTTTTCGATTAAATTCTCAATTTTTGCGATCAGACAAGTTTCAGAACATTGCCCATAAATTTTAGTTTTGCTCAACCTTAATTTGCCTTCTCAAAAAGCTTGTAGAAATTTTCCTTTTTGCTTTTTGACATTTGCCTGCCTTCGTCCACTTGTTTCAATAAATACATCGGTAGTTGGGAAGAAAGAGGGAACGACACGTGCTAGTGCCAAATTGTTTTAACAGAAAATTTGTTTTTACCGTTAGTTAGCAATTAATCCGATGTTTGTCTAATAGAATTCAATTATCCTTCCCAACTTTGTGCTCTCATTTCAAGAAGAAACCTCTCACTATTTCTCTCACACAACGAACTCAAAAGGCAAGGGCAAAAAAATATAGCGAAGAATATCTACTCGCACGATTTTTCTCCCTGAAATTTTGTACAAAGTTTCTCAAGCAAATTTGTATGAAGTGTTAATATGTGGTGGATTTTTTATAGGTGCAGGAAAATGGTATTTCCGGGTGGGAGTTGTAGCGGGTGTCAAGGAGCGGTGGAAAGGGATGGTGGCGGAGAGTTCAACGGCGGCGTCCAGCAGTAGATCTGGCGGTGGATCAGCGGATTCGTACATCGGTAGCTTAATAAGCTTGACATCGAAAAGTGAGATCAGGTATGAGGGCGCACACTACAACATTAACACTGAAGAGTCTAGCATCGGCCTCCGCAACGGTAAGGAATTTAACAAGTCATTCGTGATTATTCTGTAAATTTGAGCTTTTCTTGAAATTGTTTACTTTTTTGGGGAAT